CTGCCCCCCCCGCCCCCCCCCCCCACCCCGCCCCAACCCCCACCACCAGCAGCTCCTGCCCCACTAATGTTTAGGAGGCTCTGTACCTCTAAGAACAAGCAGTTTCTTTTACATTCCACAAGCTGATCCAGAGTTCTCATATCCAAACAAACCCAATTAAAGGTCTACTAGAGTCAAGTCACAATGAACTGAACATTTCTGTCCTGGCTGAGGGTAAACAGGAAGTGCAATCTTCAATCCTAGCTGCAGGTTATCAGGAAAAACCGTGGATTCAAACAGTCACCTAAAACCAAGACACTCTTAAAAAGCCCTTATTTTGTTCCTGCTAATGAAGCCCCCATCTGCTGTAGCCAAGACCCCCTATTACAAACAGACCCCAAATGTTCATAAAACTGTTTATACATGGTCACAGAGGCAACAATTGCTTTACTTACCCAACCAATGTTCAAGCAACTGTCTCATTTTTCCACAGTTAGGAAGAGAGAACAGGCTGGCAGGTTAGGGACTTGATCAAAAAGGAAATTTTTTTAAGCAGTTATCTGGTATTATTAAGCACACACACAGCAACAACACAACCCAACAACTATGGACTGCTGTCATGAGCCACGAACATGATTTTATTTCCTCTGCACTCTCACCCAGAAGGACAGAGGATGATATAACATAAAAATAAGAAATAAAAAAAAGGAAAGGAGAAATGAAAACAGGGATAAAAGATACATTAGTCCATTGAAAATCATGCAAGAGTAGAAAGCTAAAGGATTCAGAGTTCTCACAGATTTTTTTTTTTTTTTTTTTTTTGCAGGATGTTTTTCCAGATCCCTCTCCCCCTCACCCCCTAATCCCCATCCCTACTTCAAAAACTTCCTCCCAAGCCTAGAAAACACTTTGAGAAACATTTGCTGGCTGTAGGCTGGCTTGCAGAACACTCTGTCTCCACCTAAGTCAGGAAAAAAGGCTGAACAATGTCCTTTCTGGTGCAGAAGCTCTGTAGGAAGAAAAAAGACCATGAACAGATACCACCTCCCACCTAGGCCCAAGAGCTAGACTCCCTCCCTAGCATGCTCTGCTGAGGCTGGTTCTTTCTCCAACGCAGGTCCTCTCTTGTCAGAACTTCGTCCAGCCTTCCCAGAACCTCTCTGGAGAGGCAAACTTGCCTGCCTCGCTGGCTGCCCTGAGCCCTGCTTGGAGAGGAGCCTGCATGCTTACCTTCCATTTTCTTCCCCAGCAGGCATGTGACCAGAGAAGACAATAGTGCAGGGGGAACTGCTCTGCGAGAGAGACAGAGAGAGAAAGAGGGAGGGAAGGGGGGGAAAAAGAATAAAAAGGGGGGAAAAAGAGCTGCTTTTTTGGCATACCAGGATCTAGCTTCAAATTCTTCCAGAAACACCATGCCCTGGTGGAAGAAAAGGTGTGCCAGGCCCTTGCCAGTTTGCAAAACCGAGCTCAGGCTCATGGCTACTGAGCCATGTGACCCAAGAAAGCACAAAAATTCTCTCTAAACAGTTCCAAGTTAACATAAGTGCTCTGGGGGTGAGTGTGGCACAGCCAGCCACGGAGAAATCACACTGCTCACCCACAATTCGGATGTCTCAGAGGGAGGGGGAAAAAAGATGGTTAAAAAGTCGAGCTTACCTCTGTGGATGCATTGTTAACACTGTGTAATGTCAATACTTATAAAACATGGAGGACAGGCTCCTAGTTCTCACAGAAAAAGGGTTTGGCACTTCGGCTGATGATCTGGCCGCCTAATAAAAGCTCATCCCCGATTGGCTGCCCTGGCAAATCGGAGTGTAAAGCCGGCCTGGATTGGCTGAAACACTTCCTCTGCGATTATCTTTGTGAGGCTCGGGTGAGCCAGAGCCACCCTGTGCATAGAAAAGACCGGCTAAGCTAGGCCTTTTGCAGCAAGAAAAACTTGGGAGAGGGGCCCCCGCACGCACTTCTCCCACACCCTGGCGAGGTTTCCCCGCACGGGCAAACCAGTGCAGCCAGCCCGACCTGCTCCAGCACAGCCTGAAGCCCGGGGGCCGCTGGGAACAGAGTTTTTGGGGTGGCTCAAAGGGCTCACTCTCGCCTGCCCCCACAGAAAAGGCCCGTTTCTTTAAAGAGGAAGGACGACCCGTTTCTGGAACAACCCAGCCAGAGTCGTCCTCCCAGGGCAAGTTAAGCCGAGAGGTGGGGCGCCCCAGAAAAATCCCAGCCAAGGGGGGCCACAAAAAGGGCTCGAGCAGGCCTTGGAGGAGCTGAGGATAAGTGAGCAGCACAGGCCAGCCCCAGGAATCGGGAAAAGCAGCCCTGGCCTCTCGGAGCAAAGAAGAGCGCGGCTGCAGAGGGAGGAGGGGACCAGTGGTCAAGTTTGCATAGTCATTGTCCAAAGGCCTCCTGCAGAAGCAGGCCAGGGAGCCATTTGCCTCTTGCCCCCCTTGGTCAGTCCTCAAAGGAAAACCCAAAGGGGTTCCTGCCTCCCTGCCAAGATGCCAAGGGGGCCCCTCTCCCTCCTTACCCTAAGAAAAGCCAAATGCGCTCCTAGCAGGCCACATGCCTGGGTCTACAAACTTCCCTTCCCCTGCCGGCCCCTCCCCCACGCCGAGGCCTGCTCAACCTGTCAGTTAAACAAAAATCTGACTTCCGTATTAGTCTGCCATGCCTGCAGCTTCCTGCCTGTTAACCCTCCCTCGGACTCCGGGCCTGTCTGGGAAAAACTAGGCCCTAAGATCGCAGAAAAGGCCTGTGGAAAAATACCAGCTGCAGCTCTCCCGGCAGATGCAGAAAGAGAGAGAGCGAGCGCTGTCTCTGCCTTCGCTTCCCAAGGAGGCGTGTACCTTCTGAATCCAGGGCACAGGCAGTGCTCTGGGGCTGAGAAGCCATTGAAACCCGGAGGGAGACGGAAAGATGGCAAGCTCAGTGAGGAAACAAGAGCCCCTGTTATTAGCCAGGTCTGCAGTGCCCCGAGGTCAGCCCTTCCTGCCACAGTCGGCCCTGCGTGTGTGTGTTCTTGGGGAACTGGGCCCTGCTCGTGGGCACACGAAATCCCATGAGCTCCATAAGGATTCTTGCTTCGATTTATTTCCACAGAGATGGCTTCTTGTCCCCGAAGGCAGATGGAACAGCTATTTCACACACAGCCTTACACTTGGCAGTCCCCCGGCCCCCATCTCTGGCACTATTCCTCGGTAAAATATTAACCAGTTTTTCAGAGCTCCTTAGACTTCCATGCATTTCAGGAGCATTCGGTCTCCGCCTGCCCCCGCCTTAGTGAAGCTGTCTTTGTAGTTGGTCTGCAGCCCCAGAAGGAGAAGGCAAATCAAAAAAGATTTTTGAATGTGCAAGCTTGCTTTCTTCTACTTTTCCTTTTTTTTTTTTTTTTGTTAAGGAATAGGTGCTTAATTAACACAATTTTTTTAAAAACAGCAAGTGGAACACAGAAGCTAAATAAACACCATTCTTTAGAGCCTGGAGAAAACATGCAGTTGCCAGGGCCGTATGCCATTAAGTAAAACCAAGGTGCAATAAAGGCCCCCTCTCCTCCCAGAATTAGGACTTGGGAGTTTTGTAGTCCCACAGGGCTCCCACAAAGAAAAGAAGAGCCGACCGCTTGCCCTGCCCACCTCCCCAGGAACAACAGGTGCCACGGTGTACATCAATCTAACCGGCTGGGGAATCTACATCAGGCAGGCTCAGGGACCAGCCCAGAATCCAAACACTACCGCGGGGCAGGGCCCGGGCTTTGTGAAAGGGACAGAGACTGTTATTGCTGTCGTTTCAGGCTGCAGAGGCCCAAGATGCCGGGCACCTCCACCACCTCCCGCCAGACACAGGCTCAGCACTCAGGACAACAGGCCTGGGCCTCACCGGAAGGGAGGGGCTGGCTCTTCTCTGGGGTGGAAACCTGTACGGGGATACCAAATAGGGAATGGGAGGCGGAGGTCTGAGCGCCTCAGACCTGCTGTCCCCAGCCTGGCCATGTGGGCCTCCACCACCCTCCGTGGTGGATACTGTTTGCTTCTGCGGGTGCAGGCGCTGCTTTGGGTTAAACAGAACAGTGGGGTTGGCCGCAGATCTCGTTTGCAACCAACTCCACGACTCAACGAGGAAATGAAATATGCCCCGGTGCACGTGGTGGATTTTAACCCCGGATTAAAGCTTGTTGCATAAGCAGCTGCAGCATCCTCCCCCTCCCCCTCCCCAGATCACTTGATCACTTGAAATGTTTTCTGGGGCAAAGAGCAGGAAGCTGCTGGCTTATTCTGGCAGCCCTGCTCTGTGTAAGGAATGCTGTTGGCATTTGGCTTGCGTCTAGGGTTATCTGGAAAACTGCAATTCGGCTGGGGACAGAGACGAAGGTATGGTGGCAGATGGAATCCTGGGAGAGGCAGATGTTGAAAAGGAAGCCTGGGGCAGCCCTACTAAGGGTCAGTCCTGGGTTTCACGGAATACAGCTGAGGAGCAGGAAATAAAAGCCAAGCTTTCTGCACTCAACCTAGAGAGCCACTTGGTGGCCTTTCGATTCCCTCCATAGCACTGCTGCTGAGCAGTGCTTTACACAGACTGAGTCCAGGAGGCGGGAGCACTGTTAGAGACCTGGAGCTGAGCCCAGAGAGGTGAAGTCAGCGGCCCAGGATCACACAGCTGGCATGCCAGAGATCACTCTTCCAACCCAGTTATGACTCCTTATCCCTAAACCACTACACTTGCCTGCCTCTGAGAAGAAACAAAAGCAACAACACCAAACCAAACAGCAGAGACAAGGAGGCTCGAGGCCGGCAGGTGGTGTGGTGGTGAAGGCGCTGGACTCTCACACAGCAGACCACGGTTTGAGTCTCAGACCCACTGGCTTGCTGTCTCACTTTACCTCTCCCCCACCCCCACCCCATCAAATGTAAAATAATAATAAGGATAACAATAATAAAGAAAATGAAGTACAATGATTCTTATAAAAAAGACTGATGGTCGGGGCTAGAAGGTGGCATGGTGGTTATGGGCACTGGACTCCCACATGGCCAATTGTGGTTCAAGTCCCAGGCCTTGCAGCTTGCTTTGCTTGCTCGCTCTCTCTCTCTCTCTCTCTCTCTCTCTCTCTCCTCACCTCCTTCTCTGGTCAAATTAAAATAAATAAATAAAATAATTATATTTTAAAAAGTGATGGTCGGGGCCAGCAGGTGGCATGGTGGTTAAGGGCACTGGACTTCCATATAGCCAACTGCGGTTCAAGTTCCAAACTTGGTGGCTCTCTCTCTTCCTCTCTATCTCTCACACTCTGTCCCTCTCTGGTCAAATTTAAATAAATAAATAATTTTTTTAAAGTGATAGTCAATCACACTTGTCTAAAAAAGAAAGAAAGGCTCAAAGCCACACACTGCAACTGCATGACCAGTATTCTCTCCGAGGTCAATCCCTAGAGATGGCTACGTTGCTTTGCTGTTATTGCTGTTCTTTCATGCCAGAGGGCACGTGTACCAGCGAGGGAGAAGGAGAGAGGACCCTCCGACCGGACCTGGCCACGCTGCAATCCTATTTCTCCATGCTGACAGGATCCTGGGCATGAACACACATGCCCAGCATGTTCTTTCTTTCTTTCTTTCTTTTAAATTTGTCAGAGGGCTCGTGTGCTCACAAGAGAGACAAAGAGAAACAGAGACAGAAGGAAGGTGAGAAAGCACCCCCCTATGGGGGACGTCACACCACAATCCTGTCTCTTATTCTTCCCTTGGGACTTTAGGCACACACCCACACACACACACACACCCAGCACACGCACACACCCCCAGCACACGCACACACCCAGCACAAACCCATACACCCCAGCACACGCACACAACCAGCACACGCACACACCCCCAGCTCACGCACATACCCCCAGCACACGCACACACCCAGCACAAACCCATACACCCCAGCACACGCACACAACCAGCACACGCACACACCCCCAGCACACGCACATACCCCCAGCACACGCACACACCCAGCACACACACACACCCAGCACACGCACACACCCAGCATACACACACCCAGCACACACGCATACACCCCAGCACACGCACACAACCAGCACACGCACACACACCCAGCACACGCACACACCCAGCACACGCGCACATACCCAGCACACGCGCACACACACAGCACAGGCACACACCCGGCACGCTTTCCAAGCTACCAGCTCCAGAATAAGAACCATGGAGCCAGCCCTGTGGGATTCCTCTTTCACCGCACAACGCTTAACCATTGTGCAAGGAGGCTGGAACGGGCAGGGTTTTTGTTACGTTTTTGTCTTTGTTTTGTTTTGTTTTGTTTTTTAATTTGCCAGAGAGCACGTGCACTCACCAGAGAGAGCGCGACACAGACAGACACAAACAAGAAAGGGCCCCACGAGGCATGGCCACACTGTAATCCTTGCTCCTCCAGCTCCCTCCTTTTGGGATTTTGGGCACGCACGCAGTGTTCTCTCGTGCTCCACCATGTCATGGGCTGACCCTGAGGTGGGTTTTAAGTTCTGAATGGTGGAGCACAGAAAAACTGTGGATTAGGCTCACTCAACTCTCTCATGCCAGAGGCCCAGATAAAGCCTCCCTCTAGTGCAAACTTCTAGTGAGTTGTCAAGGACATGTTGTCATTGCTAACATTAGGATTTGGTAGTCCTTGGAACCAGTGGTTCTCAACCGGGGCCTGTTGCCCCGCCATGGGACATTTGGCAACGCCTGGCCACTTCTAGTTAGTACCCCTGGAGTGAGGAGATTCCTACCGGCATCTAGAAGGTGGACACCAGGGACAGCCCCACAGCCAGGAAGTATCCAATGCAAGAATATCGGGGGTGTTGAGACTGGGAAGCCCCAGCTTCAATGAAAGAGAAGAAAACAAATTCAACCAGAAAGAAAATCCCAAAAGCTGGCACAGGCCTAAACAAGCAGGCTCCTTGGTGCTAATAAGCAGGGAGCTAATAAAAACAGATTAAAGCATGTCTCTTAATATTCCCAGGGGACTGAGAATCGGGGGACAGAATCAGGCCGCGGGAAGCCAGGCCGAGCGTCACAGACAGCCTGTTCTCGAAGGAACGACAGGGCTGGCCCCAGTTCCCTTCCCCAGGCACCGTGCTCGGAGGCCTGACCTCCCTGCAATGGCTCCCAGTCGCTCTGGCCTGCAGCCAGACCAGCAGCAGGAGGCGCGGCCTCAGCAAGCTGCATCCCCAGATAGCCTGTTCCCTGACTATGAAAATAAGCACGCTCGGGTTATCTGCCTGGAGCTAGCAGCAGGCCTCTCCGGCCCTTCTGCAAAATGGACAGGACCGAGGCAGGGGAGTGCTTGAAATAC